CAACTGTGTCGGCTTATCTGCTTTATGTTTCGTCCTTAAAATTTGGCCTTTCTTCATAACTTTTCATATTACCTACCACCTCTCAGTGGGTTGAACATGTACTAAACCAAGTCCCCACACTTGTGTTCGGCAGACTAGGACATCGTTGTTCAATCAGCTTAGATTGCATTGGCGCTGTCACTCGTCATCTGTTTAAGGCATATCAAAGTAAATACACAAAAGCCAAGTAGTTCTTAGTTTTTTCCTTAAAAATTTACATTTGCAAATAAACTGATTCTGATCTCTTCCTTTTTTTGTGTGGAAGGTATAATAATAGGTTTTTCATGCTTCGACGTTCTGCAAAAAAACTCGACTAAAGTGGCTTTTGTTACTTGTTTGCATCTGCCGTTTATCCCTGGAATTAAATCCACATTAGGGTACCAAGGAAGTCTTGTGGCCGGTAGGGGATCTACTTCACTGCTTAGATCGTGGATCACAGATAGCCTCTCCCTCTCCTGTCGTTGAAAGTGGCATTCAATCAATTAGTACCGTCAGAAATCGCCCAATTTGGGAGAATTATTCGTTTCTTGGGCCTTTTTTACTTTGTGTCAATATGAGCCGGTCATTACCTGATCACGGGAATCATTCAGCTCATGCCGCATTTGAGATGTACCATTCGCTTGGCTTTTTTTCATTTTCTCGTCTGATAACCCAGACACCAGCTAATTTGCAATTGAAGCACGTTCAAGCTTGATCCTACTTGACCTCGAGGGATGCACCATGCTTTTATGAATGCGAGGCGCAGGAATGCGTTTTTGCTCTTCTTTCCTCATCGCCTCCTCCTTCCGCATCACTTTGTTCATTTTAGAAGACATCATACCTCTTGTCTTTTTCGGTGGATTGCTGATTGCCTCAAGTTGTACAATTAAGAGGATAAAAGAAAAAAACAACCGCCTGGGTTATCGTGATTTGACGTCACTTTCCACAGCTGTCACCTCACCTGATGCTTGTCATGGAGTGTCGAATGGTGGAATGTTGAAGTCAAGAAACATTAAACTCCAGATATGTGGAACTCTCCCTAGTTAACACTTGTTAGAGGTGATACGGATGCCACAAGGCATGATTACACCAAGTTAGTGGGTCCTAATCTGCCAAACACAAGTGTGGGGATCTGGTTCAGTATGTTCTGTGTCCTGTCCTGAAAAGATCTGTACTGATTGTCAGGCTTTGCAAAACCTACCGAACTACCCTATTTGTTATGTGTACTAATCGAGCTACGGATGGCATGAAGTTGTCATTGGTCTATGAATAAGACGATGAGATTACCGGATCTCGATAATACGACCCTCATGCGTTATTCTGAAAATTCGTCTAGATTGATGCCTTCGAGAAGTGAGAGTACATCATCAGACCGCTCACAAGGCTTTGGAAGGTACATGCGCTGAACACAGGGCATACTCTGTTGAATCACATTAGAAGTAGTGAAGGCTTTTCTAAGACTATTTTCGTTGCTATTTCCCTCTCTGAATAGAAATGCCAAATCTTCTTCTTTAAAGGTTACCTAGGTTCTGCCTCACGCCGACGTACTCTGTGCTCTCAAAATATATTCATAGTACTTCTATGAATTTTACCTTTCATTTGGATATGGAACGAGGTTGTTACCTCGACGGTTGAAACAGCCCTGAAGGCGTTTACACCCGGGGTAAAATAGGTATCAATATGTAACACAGTTCTCGTTTTGTTTTGAGCGTTATACTTAGTACTGCTGTTTTTTGCCTCCGTCATCACACGGGATTTGCGCCTCGACAAGGAGGAGATCACGGTTTCGTGAATTCCTTCGTGTAGATTTACCTAACAGCTTGGGGAACTTCCTTCAGGAATATTTCCCAAATAGGATCATTCCCCTACAGCTAAGTAAATCATGAAGGAGTCGTCTTCTTCACCTTCTCTCGCCCCCCTCTCCTTTCCCCTGCTGTTCTAACATGGCTCCCGTGTCTGGATTGTCTATAGCCTTTTTCGATTTGGTTGGTGGCATCAGATCTTCAGATTTCGTCCACTAGTTACTGTTTACTTGTGAATAATCAAGGATAGCTGTCCATTCATACTGGTCAAGTATTCGAAACATGTAGCTTTTTTGCCTGTCTACTCCCCGTTTCAATGACATCACTTCCCCTTACCGGCTCCCCTTTTCTCCTTTTTATGTAAACGCCATTAGAGTTGCCAGTCAACTTTACACAGGCAAACAGTTACTGCGTTCACTCACAATCCATTGATATTCTCCATAAATTAGAATGTCATCGTGGTGATGGCTTTATGCCCTGGCATTAGTATATCCCGTAGGTTATCTTTGTGGTCAATAAAATCAGGTAATTAACTTTATTAATATAGTGGCATAGGAGAACACTGATCATGGCCACCGTAGTCAAGGTCATGTGGAACTGAGTGTAGGGTGATTTTTCTGACAGGAGTACGAAAACATCCAGTGAAATGGAACAAATTGTCTGACCTTAGAACTGAAAAAGGGACCGACTAACTTGGTGGAATTGTACTTGGCCTTACAAAAGTTCAATTCGATTGACCCCGAATAGCCAGTAGATCTCTTTTGATTAAGCCCTTTCTTGACTATTAGAACCTTCCTTTATATGCGTAGAGCCGCCTTTAAGTGTTCCCTTTTAATTTATAATGTGATTTACTGTATTAACGCGTTAAAGTAGCCCAAAATAACTAGGCTATTTCTTTCTCTTCTCGCACAAAACATGGATTCCGAACATGCAAATTTGCCTTACCCTTTCTTTCATCTTTCTAGAGCTCTACTTTACACTTCTTGGGTTTACCTTCGTTATTTTGACACAGGGAGTACACTTGAATTCGATAATTACATTTTGGAATGGTCACGGGAAAAGGGAACCGTTTCCAGTGCCTAGTTTTCATTCCCACAGCAATTCTATAGAGGAGGTTCTCAGCTAATTAGTAACACTCTCAGCAACGTCTAACCCATCTTGGCTTGTCTCTTAACAATGCGGGGGTAGCGGACAAGCCGTTGAAGGACAGGCCAGACCAAGTCGGGCTTCAGTGCTTCATGGCGTTTTTTCAGCCCTTCACGTAATCGGTCAGATTGGGCGAACGCACGCGCTCATTGGGTGGTTGCCTCGTCTTGTTGATGGATTGGCCATTACCCTAGTGACGGTCTTGTGCCTTAATAAACCCTGTCATTTTGCCTTCGCCTTTTTCTTAGGGAAAGTTTGGAATATATTGTGGGAATCTAATGGTGGCTTGTAGATCCGCGTCTGACTGCTGACAGTAGTCAAATATTCAAGAGGTAGTTTGAAAGGAAGCCATTCCAATAATTGACAAATCACTTTGGTGTTCGGATCAGGTAGCAACAAATGTCGAGTGCTTAATATTGATTTTCCTTCCCAACAAGACCTCTGCCTAGTTCCAAAAATTTGGTTATTTCTCCCTGATTCCTTCCTTCAATTCTTAGCTAGTAAGTCGACTATTTTTAGCTACGCATACTGGACCGTTCCGTATAAGCGTTCAACGGAGAGAGTGAAAGAGGGAGAGATTTTATTGCTGCGCCTAAGTCTCCTCGTGTTTGTTTGATCAAAGCAAGCAGTAAAAGTATAGCCTGTCTTTTTGGTCGGTTTGTGTATGAATGCACTTGACTCTTCTAGCGGTACTTGGCTGATGCACTTTCTTTTCCCTCCTAAAAATAACTCCTGCTGTGGGCACTTCGTTGGCCTTTTTTTCGTCCACCTCAACGCCCACTACTTTCCTCTCGGCTTAAATATTTTTGATATGAGTGGTAGTTTAGTTAGCTCTAAGAATAATGTAAAATATTCTAGTTTTTGAATTTGTTTTTTCGTTTAAGTGTTGGCGATTTAAGGAAGAACTTTCAGTCACACAGGATTTGACTGTTTGGAAATGAGTCCGAGTCGTGCATCAGGATTCGTGTAAGTCATCTAGGCTTCATGATCTAACCATCGAACCGTTAATTCTAGACTTCTGAAGTGAATATAAAGCGGTACCAAACTAAGAGATATAGCCCTTCGTCCCAAGTTTTTTTGTTTCTGTTGGTTTTTGAGCACTATGGTCTTGATTATCATCAATTCTGGTTTAAAATATCCCGTTTCAAGACTTTGCAGGGAGGAGCTTGTACTCAACCTGGAACGTCTAAACTTCTTCAGGGCTGATTTCGTTGCGTGTTGGGTTTGAACAAAAGAAGGTATAATGCCCCATGACTGGTGTGCAAGCAATGACGCTACTTCCAACAGTAACTTCTCATTTGCTCTTCTTTCGAGTTGGCCTTTGTGTCGTGAGCGGCTGGACTTTCTACCTTTTGCTGCAACCGTGTTTTCTGACCTAGAACTCTCATTGGAGAAGTGGGTAGTCGATACCTTCCACAATTCTATTTGTCTTCAATCTAAACCGTGTCAAACCAATGAGCACCGCGCTGCCTGATCACTTCCTTAACAAAATTTTATCACTATCGTGGTCTTTCACTTCCAAGCACTGAGGACGGCTGTTGAGCTTCAGAGCTCTTTACACGGTGACATAAACTACGTATTCATAAGTGCACTATTGACCAGTTGCGAACCTAATCAGAATCAAAGTAGCAGATTCCAGAGCAAAAGCCCATATTATTGCTGCTTAAAGTACGATAGCTGGCTATGAATCTCAAGTATTTACCCTTTTTTAAGTGGTCCTCAGACCAGCGAAAGTATTAATCTTTGTAAAGTACATTTTTGCTACATATTGGCCAAACAGGAAGAAAGTAGGAGATATGGGAAGATACAAATACTCCAACACGTGGGAGTTTAGCATGAAGGAGGAAATTTCGAGCCCTCCTGAAATGCAAATGTCAAAGCTTCAACGTGGAAACGTTTCTGGAATTTTGGTTATCTCCAGCATACAATCTGGATGATCCAGGAGACCCAGGTTCTCCAGCTCTTACTACTTGAGATTAGTGTATTCGGTAGACTAAGCATCATAAGTGTTTTGGTCAAGGCCGGCAGCAAGGTCCTCTTAACACGTGATCTAGTTGCTTTTAAAAATGATTGCTCTGTCACCGTCGGCAGTTCTTAACAGCTCAATTGCTGGTAATTCCATGTTCATTTTATTTGCTTTTTCCCTACCCTTTTCTGTGGCATAAGCGAAGCATTGCTGCTTAGATTCGGCCTTATTACTACTGAAAATATCAATTTATCAACAGCTTGTAACACATAAGCTATTATTTAACAATCATTTGACACTTTCATTATCAGCGTCACATATGTGTGACATTATGGTTTTCTCTGAGCCTGGTCTTGTCTGTGATCCATATGTTTTATCAGCTCATGACAACTGTTTTTAACAGGTCGTGTCGCATAGACTATTTTTTTCCACTTTTCGAGCTGCAGTTCAATTGGTCTAAAAATGAGAACAATTGGTGTTTTCTTTTGGGACGGTAAAACTTCTGGACTCTGCTGTTTGAGTTGCCTTCGAGATTTTAATCAGGAAGGCTTTAAGTGATGATTTAGTGAATGTGATTTCTTGACTCGCGCGAGCCTTCTTTCGTACTTCTTTCCATCTGGTGCATACAGCTAAATGCATTTTCTCTCGTAAATTCATTTCATTCTTGACTAATTTGATAACTCCATTTCGATTGCCCAATTCACGCACACGAGGATCAAGTTCTGGGACCGCACCAATTGAGTGGAAGCGAGTGCATTGAGGTTATTGACAACAATTGACTTCTTAATACCAACTGGTTCGTGTAACAGATGGTGAAGGAGCTGCGAGATGGTGAAGGGTTATGCAATCGGTTGAGACGATTTTGGGTGAATTGAATTGGTATTTTCTAAATTTCATAAGAGTTTCCAACTGCATCTTCTGTCCATCATTGGATCTTTAATTGTCTTGTTCTCTTGGAGCCTCTAGCTCCAAATGCTTGATTCAACTACTTTTATTAATTTGGAATGAGCGCCCCTTACTCCCTTTGATCGGCCAAGTCTCATAAGCTCGTTTTCGTTACACTTAGTACCAGTTTTTATCCAAAAAAATGTTCCGAAAACTTTTTTGCAAGATGATTAGCTTGTTTCGATTGAGCATATCTTCGTTACTTAATTGCTAGTGGCTCCACGCTCAACTGAATTTCTTCCTCTCTTCATTCCCTTTGCTCTGACTTGAGAGGCGAAGTACCGTCTTTCGTTCAAGGGATCTACGACATTGATAATAGCAATCAATGTCGTACCCCAAATACCTAATTGAAAGCCTTCATATCCTTTCCTGCATATCAAATCTTTTTCCTCAAAGGCTGTAGACACTCTTGCCTGTGTGGTTGAATGAAAAATAGTCTTGGTGGACCTTTTTTCTACACCAGACCAGATGATGCTGATAGTGCATCCCTCTACAGTAGAGTGTGTGATGGAGAGCATTAAGGCTATATTTAGGCTACGGCTCTTGCGTCAACTTGGTGTTTCATTGAAATCCTTCCTTCAAGATCATGCTTGTCGGTTCTATCAAATTATCTCCTCCCTATTTTAGTTTCTTCTGTTCCACTTCTTCATGTCTGAGAAGTGTGAGAACTAGTTGGACGTAATTTGTGGTTGACAGTATCACTGCCCTTCCTGACGGTTGACAGGGCCAAATTAATCCTGTTGAGCTTGTTCGGTTGCGTGCATGTATATAGCGACACCCTTTTCTCCTCTCTTGCCTAACACGAACTGCCAACCGTTTTTGTTTTTCAGCTGACTTCATCCTCCCCTATACCAGCGTCGCTCACATCAGGAAATGATTAATGTAGGAGGAGAATACGTTCTATGAGAATTACGAATGTGTTGCCGTTTTATTTGAACTGATTGATACCCCTTCTCTTTTTATAAGTTGGCAGAAATGCTGAAAATCCAGCTTTTAGTTTCCTTCCCCATCTGATCTCTCAAAAATGTAAAAGTATTTTCATCTGATTAAGACCGCAGCCCGATTTTCCCCTGATTACTGTTGCTTTTGCCCTTACGGCTATTGATGTACATTCACAACAATCTGGCCGGACTGAAGAACAACGAATCGGTATGTTAAAATTTGTCCTCCAAGATGGGTGAATCTGTTTCCAGTTCGGCATTAATGGATGGTATGGTGTGCAGAGGGGTTTTTCCGCATTTCAACTGAAGAGTTGACAAAAACCCGGTGGAGAGAATTTCGGTTTAAATAATGAACTTCATTTTTTGGGCAGTTAAGTATCTGCCAAATGGGGAGTTAGTCTTGCAGACGTATTTTGTTCTTTTCCTTCGAATTTTTACCCTATTAACATCATAAATCTGCATTCTCGCTCATTGGCCTTCCTCGTTTTTCTTGCTCCTATCGGTTGGTGTTATTGCCTCGGTTAGACTGGCAAGCTGATGAAGCAGAGGAGTAAAGTGAGTCCTTTGAGAATGAGGCGACAGTATGGTTTTCTACAATTCATCGCAAATTTTTATCGAAAACGCACAGATTGACTGATTTTATTTTCTTTATCCGATTCACTCCTTTTACCACTTTAATGTACGAAAATTGGATATTCACATTTAAAAACTTGGCATCTCGAGAGGTTGCTTCAGTCATATCTCTACTTCCATCACCTTCCTGACCTCATTGCCCTCTAGTTTCGTTGCTCTGCGTCTTGAAAGGCCGGGCTGGCGTTCAATGGGTTGGAACTTATGATAATTCATGGAAGAAATGAGAGGTTGTTCTTTTGTTCGCTTTACCATTTGCTACTCTTTTTGTCTTTTTTTCTACAATACACTATCTAAACATTTAGGCTGAGAAGCTAAACTGTCATTGAATGTTATTTCTGCTTGACTAAACTGCCTCATTTTCAGGATGTTGAACTGTAGTAGTAGATTATTGTTCATACCTGGTCTCTCGGTTACACCAATTCTCGTAGATTCATTTTGCGTGCTTTCTTCATCTTCATTACATCTTGTTTTCTCAAAAGGCGGATCAAAGTAGATCCCCGTCGAATTTCCCAAAAAGCTCAAATAGAGAGGAACAAACTAAATCTTCTAGTACTGAGGAAGTCGTTTTCTAGCTTTTGTGTGGTCTTTAAAGTACATTACTGCAGTAAAGGTGATGTCAAGCTAGACAAATTACCCCATTTTAGTTTGTTAGGCGATTGTTTGTTGGGGTTAGTATTTAATGCTTTCTAACTTCTTCCCTCATTTTTTTGAAAGGATGATTAAAACGGTACAATAGTAGTTGAGGAGGAACTAATTCTCAGAAAATGAAGAAAGTGTAACTAGGACTATTTCATTGATTGGTGTGTTTGGTTGAGGTTTAGCTAGAAAGCTAAGAACTCTCCTGTTATCTTGTGCAGTCTATTATTTTATCACTTTGATAGACGAGGAGTTTACGTAATCGTTTCGGGTTTGATTTATCATCTATCTGATTATTTCGGATCGTCAGTTTATCAAAACCATAAATCTTTCGGTTTTCATATCCTTGTTTCTCCCACACTTGTTTTCAGAGGGACTATGTTGATCGAATTGAAAAGTTGTCTTTAGACGAATGAGGAGGATATTGCCTGAGTTACTTCGACTTGTATATTTCATCTGTGCTTTTCACGCCACCTCATTACTCAATTTTCGGTCGGCAGACATTTCGTTTTTTGGCAATTTCAACACATGAAAAAGATAAGCTAGTTTTTGCAAACTTTCTAATTCGGGAACGCATAAATTTTGTTTGATTTCTGTCTGATTAAAATTACAACAATATCCTCGTTTCCTACAAGGTTTAATTATCTTCCTTGCGTCTTTTGGAATTTTTTTTAATTACGTGCTGGTTCAAATAAAGGGATAGGTTCGAGGGATAAAATATACCTTTTGGGGTTTTTGCCCCTATTTTAGCTTTTGCTGCGTAATATTATCGTCGAAAATTCAAAACTAGGGGAAAACCTTGTCTAGGAAGCTGTTTTGAGTTTAATTCAATTCCCTCCGTCTTGCCACAGCCTGTGTGAGACCTTTAATTTGTTTCGCGTCCCACTTGCCTATCCGCAGAATGACGACAGCTTTCTTTCGCACTCCATCTCCACCTACGAGATCGCACCGACACGTTCCTTTACCGCCCGCCGAACACCCGGCTGTCTCTTCCATCCCGCTATCGTTACCACCTCCGCCGCCGCTGTCCCACTTCTCGCCGCCGCACCCAATGGCGAAACCGAAATGGAGGCGGAGTCGGTGGTGATGGCAGACGAGGTGGAAGGTGTGAGGGAAGGCGCATCGTTGCATCGACCCACCTCCCTTCTACCCCACACCGTTATCCCCTCTTTTTCCACCGAGGCTGTCCAGGCCACCGTCACAGCTAACAGTAATGATCCCTCTGGACTCGGCTCTACCATCACGTCAGACGCCAACGAAGCGGTGGTGTTTAGCGCAGCATTGGAGTGATTTAATCACACCATTGTTCTAAGAGAGTAAAGATACTGGTACATAGATACTTCATCCCCATTGCCTATGTCTTTGAGTAGAATCAAAGTCAATGTCGCTTCGCACGATGCCCTCTAACCTTGCCCCTAAGAGTATTCAGAAGAATGAGGCACGGGTAGAGGAGAAATATGAGCTTGCCATCATCGCATGTGTTTTACTCACTTGTGTTTTTTTTTGTCCCCGCTCCCTTTTTGTGTCTATTGAGAGAGATTATGAAACACTATTGCCTTCAGCAAGTGCTTGTGTTTTTCTTGATCATTGTCAGAGGCTTCAAAGAGGGGTTTTGGTTCAATGTAAACTCGATCACCACAATCCCGATGTTTTGATGGTGGTCAGTAATTTCCCCTAACCGCCCCAACTACTGCTCAAATGTTAATTTGTTTTCTACATGATTTGTCACAAACTGACAGGAGATGCATCACGTGTTAGTAATACCGGGATAAAATAAGGAAATCGGGGTGCCACATGTGTGACATTGGTGAATGCTGATTAGCCGCCGCTAAAGTCCACACTGTAATGGTAAGGAATTTTCTACAGACACTTCAGTGTTTCAAGCCTGCAGAAACATCGCATGTTACAGCCTGTTTTGAGTCTTCTCACCTGGAGATAAATGGTTAACAGGCGTTGTTTATGTTCTTTAATGCGACATCTGGCTTTTACTCCACTTTTGGTGTTGTAGGGGATTACAAACCGTTATTGCAATCGCCATTTACCTGTGTTTTGTTAAAAAGAGAGATATTCAGTTTGTTCCCACTGTCAAAGATATTCACTAGAAGAATTCACTGTGGATGTTTGGATACCTTGAAGTGGTCGTGACCCCCAAGAAGATAGGCCGACTGGCGTAAGTTACGAGGTCATTACTACAAATTGTTGAAAAAAATTATCTCGTTTCAGGATTAGCATTTACTCATTTCGCTCAAAATTTTGACACGCTCTGGGTTGGGTGGTCTTATAGAAAAAGAGGAACCATTCCGACGTTTTCAGGTTGTTATAGCTGAGTGGACACCAATTATTCACGCGCTTGTGCTATTTTTAGAAGAAGGTATAAGTAGCAGAGCATAAAGCTGTGCCTACACGCCGAACCCCAGCTGTAGGGTTACCACGAATTCCGAGAGCCTTCCTAGTGCGGCGCTGCGCTTTGTACCCAACTCAATGGGGAATACACCGTCCGCGACTACCTATTTGACACAACACTGAGCAACTCGTAATCCCTTTAGACTTGCAAAAGGGAATTTCGGCTTTTAAAGTGACTTACAAGCTTTTTATTCTTTTCTCGAAAGCTTTATTATTTTATTTTCTCCTAATATGCACGAAGGATATTGCCGAACACCGGTCCTATCCATTGGTAACTTTAGTTAACTGTTGTTATGAGTCATATTTTTAATTTAAAGGTTCCACGTCGTTCGTCTAGTAAAATCTTTGTCCATCAAAGCGCCGTGTTTATGTCGAGTGGTGCAACACCTACACGGGTGTTTAGGCCATCATTCAAAGTCTGTTTAAACACCTTTTGGTGGTGCGCTTCATTGGCATTAAATTCACTCCAAAGACTTTTTAGTCAAATCACCTTACTAATTTTTCCAATAAATTCGTCAATCTGTTCTAAATTTGTCAAAATTAGGAAAAAACGGTATGAAAGAAAGTTAAATGGGGGAAGAAAAGCACACCTCTTCAGCATTTACCGTATGAATTTCAAGGATACTTTAAAAGCCTATAGGCACTGTACGTTAGGTGATATCGCGATTTGCCTTCTACTTTATTCCCTTTAGTGGATTTGCATACCTGAATGCATTAGTTAAAAATGGCGCACTTTTTCAAAGTTACCTATTTGCATGAAAACAAGGGTTAGTTTTATCTGGTTGTTATTGCTGCTTCAAAACTGGATCAATTCGGTGTCATGTTACCCCATGCCTTTATCAGGTGCGCTAGTGAAATGCCACCACTTTTAGACCTTTGCTTAACTTGATTTTAAATAGAACAACTACTTTTAAGAAACACATTTGGAAAAATTTAGCTCGCACCATGGATGTAATTGGGAACGTGGAATCAACCGAAATAGCCGAGTGTTCCGCATCCCGCAGAGAAGCGGAAACAGACGTTTGAACTTTTACGCTACATACAACTGTTGGTCGGGCAGGCCATAATCGGCCGCCGAGGTATTGATGAAATATTGGGCGTATTTTACTGTTTCCATCCCTTGAAAACCTGAAATTTGCGTGCAACGTGGCACTCTGAGAAGGCACAGACTCTAGCGGCAGAACACGCATTTGCATTTCATAAAAACGCATGGACGTTTTCTTCTATTTACAAAACACTTTTTATTTGATTTACGGAATTGTGAATAAGACTTATTTGTGACTAATTATAATTCGTGGGCAAAGATTTTGCCG